CGAAATATATTAATGTATTGAATTTAATGCCGTAGATAAGGGTATAATAAACGTTAGGATTGTAGAAATGAAAAATAACAAGCATCAACAGACTATAACTAAAACTATGAAAATATTGAAGAGTGAGTTCATTCTATACTCACCAGTCAGGAAATATATACAGGGTTTGTCCGGAAACTAATAGGACTCATTTTATTCCGCCATGACTATACTTTCGGAGCACCGACTGGATTCGGTAGAGGGCGTTCCTAGCTAACGAATGAGCGGCTGGCCAGTTGTCTCCGAGCACTTGGAGAGTTAGGACAGGCATTTTCGCTCGACGTGTTTCTGTGAGTGGTGCAAGCCGAAAATGCAGCGTTCGTTAGAGCAGAGGTATGCGATTAAATTCTGTGTGAAACTCGGTAAATCTGCGACAGACACGTTTGATATACTCAAGCAGGCTTACCAAGGTGTTGCTTTAGCAAGAAGTGGTGGGTTTCGGTGGCACCAGGCCTTTTTGGAGGGCCGGGAAGAGGTCGCTGATGAAGACCGTGCTGGAAGACCTTCGACTTCGACAAACACCGATAATGTGACTCGTCTGCGCAAAGTTTTGAACTCAGACCGTCGAGTAAGTATTCGTTTAATTGCCCAGATGTTAAATTTACCAAAATCTGTGGTTCATGACATTGTGACACAGCATTTGAACATGCGCAAGGTGTGCGCGAAGATGGTCCCAAAAGTGCTCACTGACGACCAGAAATTGCGGCGAGTGGAAGTATGCCAAGCAAATTTGAACATGTGTGAATTTTTGAATAACGTAATCACAGGTGACGAGTCGTGGATCTTTGAGTATGATCCCGAGACAAAGAGGCAATCTTCCGAGTGGCACACGACGGCGTCTCCTCGCCCAAAAAATGGAAGAATGAGCAAATCCAAAGTGAAAGCGATGCTCATTGTCTATTTTGACATCAAAGGCATCGTCCACCATGAATTTGTTCCTCCTGGGCAAACCGTCAACGCCAAGTTTTACGTGAATGTGCTCAGGAGACTCAAGCGAGGGGTCAGTCGGGTCCGACAAGACATCGCAGCCGACTGGAAGTTGCACCACGACAACGCCCCGGCTCACACCGTCTTTCTTGTGAACAGCTACCTGACCAAGGCCGGCATCCCAACGCTTCTGCAGCCGCCCTACAACCCAGATGTGCCCCCCCCCCCCCGAACTTTTTTTGTTTCCTCGCCTGAAAAGGCCGATGAAAGGCAAGCATTTTGAGACGAGGGAGAGAGGGAATCCAAGCAGCTTGCACCGCGGTTCTCAAGGCTATTTCGGATAATGCCTTCCATGACGCCTTCAATGCTTGGAAATCGAGCCTATTTTGAAAGTTTTTTAAGAATTGTAACGATTGGCTCAATAAACTTTTTTAAATCGACTCAGTCCTATTACTTTCCGGACAAACCCTGTATTTAGATAGAAAAATAACTTAGGCAAAGACGAAAAACTACAATTGATCTAACAGATAAAAGGATTAGTAGTATTTATTAATTGTCTATCGGGGATAAAGCGGTTATCTGTAACTGAAACTAAGAGTGGGTCTAGTAAATATAAGTATAAGTATATATAGGGTTGGCCATATTCGACGAAAAGATGTGGCCACACTGTAACTTTTGACAGAGATGACAGATCGAGTAATGACGTAGCGCGTTTGAAGCATCGGTCTAAGGAGATTTTTGCAATGGAGCAGTACATTCCACGCGAACGCTCTCAGATTGTTGAAATTTACATTCAACAAAACAAGTGAATTGTGAAAACTCAACGTGCATGGAGAAAAATAAATAAATTGAAAACTGCGCCTTCCGCGACTACATTGTAGTTTGTATGAAAGATGTTCATCAGGTGAGGAACTTACTAATCTCAAGCTTCCAAATAAAAAGCGACCAAGGCGATCGGATGAAAATATCGCACTCGTACGGACCAGTGTTCAGAGGTCTCCAACAACATTTCAAACGCGTCGATCTGAGCAGTTGGGCATAAAACGAACCACTTTACGTCGCATATTGCGTCATGATTTGCATTTGTTCCCATACAAAATTCAACTGACACAAAACCTGTAACCTGCCGATAAGCCACGTCGATTGGAATGGGCCCAAAGAGTCATCGAAATGGTTGAAAGTGACGATCATTTTTGGCAAAAAATCATCATGAGCTCTGAATCTGATTTCATGTTAACCGGAGCCGTAAACAAACAAAACTGTCGGTTCTATGGTACTGAAAATCCTCAAATTATTCACGAGGTACCTCTTTGTGACCATAAAGTGACTGTTTGGTGCGGTATTTGTACTAGTATGGTCATTGGGCCGTTCTTTTTCGAAGATGAAGCTGGCAAAGCGGTTACCGTCAATCAGGAGCGTTATCGCGATATGGTAAGGGAATTTTTGATAACAATTGTTCGTGACAATAGTATGGAGCATTTCTGGTGTCAACAAGATGGCGCTCCACCACACACAGCTCGAGCTACTATCGATTTTTTTAAACGATTGTTCCCTGGACGTCTGATGTCGAAAATGGTGATTTTGACTGGCCACCGCGTTCACCAGATTTAACGTCTCCAGACTTCTTTTTGTGGGGCTACTTGAAATCGAAGATTTATGTCAACAAGCCAAGGACCCTAGACGCACTTAAGGCCAACATCCGACAGGAAATAACCTCCATATCAACCGAAACATTGGCCAAAACGATGGAAAATGCTACATCACGGGCACTTTTCGCTGAACAGGCTCATGGCGGTAATTTAAGAGATATCGTTTTCAAAATATGATGTTCACAAATCTCCTTGAATCCAAATAAACGATTTTTGAAATGAACAGTAAAAAATGTGTTTTTTTCCTATGATTTAAAAAAAAAACATTTTTTCGTCGAATATGGCCAACCCAGATATAAGTATATAGAAATAAATACGATTTGTTTCACTTCCGTGTCTCAACCTTCCATTAGTGTAAGTTCGTCTGATCATAAATGCTTCGGACAAGGAGGAAAGCACAGGATCATTTTTCAAAGTTTCAGTTTGTGAGGTTTTTTATCCACGATATGAAAGATCGCTTAACGGGCAGATGAAAATCAAATTGAGCCAATTCCAGAGAAAGGCGACATCTGAGTGATTTATCACGATTTATTGAAAACGAAAATTCATTTTAGCTTTCTTACGAGCTTGGTAAGTCTCATACAAGGTGTTTCTGAACAACATGTCATAACTTTGGACGTGATTCATTAAGGTTTGCTCCTGACTGTAAACTAGTGTGGAAGTGTCAACAGAGTTAAGTTTTTGATTAGCAAGCCAACACAACAAGTGTCACAACACAACACGGATATCTGACACCGCGACAAGACAGCTATTTTTTCTCTATCACAACATCCGTCACTTCTATAATAAAATTACCAAACTTACGATTAACTTATTAAAGTCTTTCACACGCATCAACCATAGCAGAATGAATTTTCTCTCAATCTTATCAGAAAGATATAAATTGTATTGGGAAAACATACTCGTATACTTCAAGCTGCATTGGATCATCTCTACGACCATAACCAACCGTATACAAGGTGGATTCACGATGCTGCTCAAAAGTGTAATAATGTGCTTTCTAGTTTATTTCAGTATGCTAGTTCAACGGATCACGTTCGCTAGAACGAACTTGTTCCTAGAACTATTTTACGTGACAATATCACATAACTCATTATTATGCCAGTGAAAAAAACGTCTTTCATCTTCATCCGATCGGCGGAGCTAAGCAGCGTCGGGCGCTGTTGGTATTTGGATGAATATTGTATAACCGCTTCGGAACATATTGTATTATTGATCTTTTTTGTTTTCGCATTATCTTGCCTGTCGCTCACATAGTCATTGTAGCTTTGAAATAAACACGTTTTAAAACAATCTAATAGAATATGGGATACACATTTGTTTATTCTCATCTGTTCAAAACATTTTTAATGATTAGGGCTCCGGAAGAACAGCCCTCTTTTTCAAATTAACGGTTGTCTTTAGTATAGCAGACGAAAGCCAAGAAATAGATCAGGAGCCGATAAAACTCAAAAAATAATGTTTTTGAATGTAAATTTGTGCTTAATTTACATTTTAAGTTTAGTGTTGATCTAATTTCTTCATTAGCGCTAATAGGTGATGTTATGTTGTATGAAAGTCCATAACTTCATTTTGTCCTGTTCAGTATCCTTGACCTAAACCACGATCGTATCCAGGCAACCAGTAATTCAACATTCTGTTTACTTGGTTGCCTACGGTGGTTCAACGTCTCCTATCTTGTTCACTCAAAACTAGTTCGCTTGGAATGAGTGAACGAGTTTTTCGAGGATTGATAAACAAGTTCACGTATGTATACGCGTATACAATGGTGTTCGAGTATTATACTTGGTGTATAAAATGCGCCCATCACTGATCGATAACTGTTTTGAGAGCGTTTCGTCTCAATTAGGGGCGTTTTGGAGTGGCCGGCCCGCTCTCCAGATTTGACTCTTGTAATTTTTCTATGGGTTTTTTTTAACTCCCATGCTTATATGAACAATCTAGGGATCCTACAAAATGTTAAGACCAGCATTTAGGAGGAAAGTGCCAATATAACGCCGCAAATAGGTGCGCAAGCAGGTGAGGATCTAACAATCGCCACCAACCAAAGGTTTCAAAAGACCATATCCACTATGTTTGCTGCCCGTGTGTCTGTCTCCAAGACTAGAGGTATACCGCACTGATGAATTGCTAACAAGCACGGAATAGCGCTGTCTGCGGTTGGTCATGGTTACAGGGACCATTTGATCTCATATACTAAATGAAAATTGATTAACTGCCTGATTGACTTGTTCGATGTTTGGTGATTGATTGTTAATAAGTTGGTTAGATGATTTACCTACTGACGGTTTGGTTCTTTTATCAACAACGAATTTTGTGATAGAGACACACCCAATTGACAGAGAACATAGAAGGAGGCTAGAAAACACAAACTGCGCAACTCACCTGGATCACTGGAGAACAAAATGGGAGGGGCTAAGTTGGCGTTGCCGAACCTGTGCCTATGGTGACGAGTCTCGTACAGGTTTTGATTGAACAGGTGAAGCACGAAACAGATGAGTCCCGACAGAATGGCGATGCCAGATAGCACGCCGGCAAACGTCGAGAAGTCTGATGTCATGACAGCCACGTCTGTGAGAATAACAATTGATTAACCCAGAAGGTTTAACCCTTTGCGATCTGTTAATCTCTTAGGTTCGCTATCAGTTCATAAGGTTTCTTCCAACAAGTTCAGAGCTAATTCCTAATTATCTGCGCATTCCAGCGGTAAGTACAGTAAGTGTTTCTGAACTATTCTGATGGTAAAAAAATTACATGATTTGTTGTCGCAAAAATAACCTTAATTGAAGTAGAATTTGAAATAATTTACCATTTTGTGACATACTGTAAAACTTTCAAAAAAACTGGAAAAACTAGACAGCAGATTTGACAAGAGATGAGTAGCTTGGTGGAATACTTCAAAGAAATAGTACGAAGTTTTGTCTTTTACTTCCCACGCCTACTTGTGAGAAAGTATTGTAAAGACGAAAATGTTTGTAAATTATATACATTTTTTGGACACTATATGATATGTACAAAAATCTGCAATCGAAGTTGCACATACCTCCTTCATCTTCTGGCCTCCCAAAATACTAAACTGCAACGTTGTATTAGCGCCGAAGAAAAAGCATTACTGATACTGGAAGGTAATGTCCGAGCAATAAATTATAGATAAAAGGAACCGCACTCTATAGAGGCGAGTGGCTTGATTGAGTTGTCTCCAGTGGCGGTGGGCTATTGCTGTTGATGAGGTGCAAGTTTAATTAAATTCTCAATATGGTGTGATTTTCAAAGCAGATTACATCTTTATTTGTAATATACATCCAGGCTTTTCAAAAGCAAAATATTTCCTTCAAATTTCAAAATTCAGGCAGAAGCAGGTTGTTTGATTAATTCTGATATGATAGGTTGGATCTTTGGTATTGAATAGACAAGCCTTAAGTGCTAGGCTACCTAACGTTTGGAAACTGAACATTCTCTTCTAAAATGTAAATATGAAAAACTTTTACTTTACGAAATTAGCGCTATCCTTCTTGCAACTAATTTCATTAGCTCTGAAAAGTATTTCACCAGTATTCAGTTTAACCACTTTTCGTGTCTATACAAAACTGCATTCTGGTCTACATGCTTCTTACTTTGTAGACATACTGGTAGGTTCAGCCACTTTAAGCAGAAATCCAAGTATATAGAATTTTTGCTTTTCCAGAAATCCTCCCAATGCTAATACAAACAATTATGATCAGTTATGATTCATTAAATTTATTCATATGTGACTTCCTAGTTTAGTCCGAAGACGGAAATTTTAAGGGTGCCCATAAAAGTGATTTGTAGGAGCCACTGTTGTTGTTGATTTCGCGATAGTAATCGTTTCCTGTAGATTGAGATACTGCTTAACCAGTGGTGTTATCCAGAAAAAGATCTGGGAGGAGGCTCAGGATCCAGGGTCGTGGAGTTAGAAAACTGCATAGCAGGGGGGGGGGGGAACTCGCTTAGTCCAGGTAGCACTCTGAACAGAAGGTATAACATGCTGTAACATGTAGAAGAAGCCTAATGAGCTGTTGCGCTTCGGGGAGGGAAACTCCGAGGAGCCCCAAAGCCCTCCCTTGAATACGCCGGTGTACCCATACCAGAATAGGAACAGAGGCGTGGGGTCTGTGGGCCTAGCTCAAAGAGTTCCGCCGTTCTTTCTAATCTCATTGGGTTTGCATCCATCCAGCGACGGCGACGAAGTAAATAAGAAATGAATAAGTCCTTCTTGATTCAATTTACAACTTGATGCATTAATCAAAGAAATTATCCTGTTTTTAGTCATAAAATGCTACCAGACATTTGAGAAAAAAATTAATATTTTAAATTTCAATAGGCATTAAGAGTAATCCATGTAATTTTTTCTTATGAATGTGGAAGTGGAACAACCAGCGTGTACGCTAATGCAGTCGGCGGCGCGGCTCCTCAAAGACAAAAGCTGTATTCTGTGTTTTTGGCTCACAAAGAGATTGACAGCAGCTAGAAAAAAAGTCGTATTTTTATATTTGACTCTTACCTTTAGTGGATTTAGCATTTAGAAGGCTGGCTATTATTACATCTAATCGCCTCCTAAGAAAAAAATTCGGCCTGATTTTTTGTTCATGTTCCTGTTGTGCTTTTTGTCACTGAAAGCAAACTGTAGTTAAACTGTTTTCACAAAGCTCTCTAAGCAAAAGCTAAACATACACCGTAATGATTACCGAAAGGACATGCGATAAACAGGTTACAATAACAATAAGAGTTTAGAGCAACCAAAATTCTTATAGACAAACACTTTAAGTAGTTATTTAATATTTTCAACTCCTGTGTTCTGACGATTTAAAAATAAGAAAGTTGATTTATCATTATATTGAAAATCGCCGCAAATTCTTCCACTCTCAAATCTGCCGTTGGTAATAAAGGAATCATCAACTTGAGCATTTTATGGACCCATTGCTTATGGGTGAAAGACGAAAGGTAAGAAATCAAAGAATGGAATGAAGCTTTTCAAATGCTGATAATTTTCTGTACGGATTCGCGTCGTGTATCGCCGGAGTGTATGTAGGACAGTTATGATTTGTTCACCAAAATATTCATACAGATCATATTGTGGCGGAATCATGAATCTGAATATCCCTAATAGGTGTAGTAAACCATGCTGATATTTATATTATTAGCGTGTATGTCCAGCATTACATACACCCTTCAACGGGATAGATACACCAACACACATGCGGGTATACAATATGATTTTTTTATGATTTACTGCCTGGAGACTACCAAGATATCCAAATAAAGGGAAGAAGGGTTACAGGCGGATGGTTCATCTGAATGGGTTCCCTACTTTTAATTTCATTGATTTCAATGCGTAGTTTGACATGTCATAGAGTAATTGTGTTTATACAGGGTAATCCATATTATTATTTGTTCAATGATATATGATAATAGCGTTTTCTGGAAAATAGGCTTGAAAAATAGAGTGTTTTAGCGTTACACCCATTGGCGATAACCCACCTGTCGTTCTGGTTTCCTTGACATTGTGCAATATAAGTAACTACCATATTGATTCTAACAGAGGCTGGGATGGATTATTGTTCGGTCACAAGTTTGAAAATGAGTGTAAGGGCGCTAAACTTAATAACCAGAAAAGAAAGCAGATTCTTCAAACTGTATGCTTTCATCCTAAAAGCTTTTTTAGTGCAGATGAAAAAAATCACTTTGTTTTTTAAATTTTCGTATTTATTTTTCAGTGAACATGAATAATGTAGACTAAGGAGTATAAAATTAAATAAAGAAATTGAACATGACATCTATTTTCTCGCAATATACTTGAACAATCTACTTTGGAAAGGTTTGCCATTACTCATTGACGTATAATGTAAAAGTAAATAACAAATTTGTATCGTATTTTCTTCTTTTTGGTACTACCCACCCATGCATCACAAAAATTTAGTTACTCAATAAAAGAGTTCCATGTCGGTGTAACTTAAACCTAACAATTTTTTAGGAGAGCAAAAAGAAGGGTGGGCCTTTGGAGTCGCTATCGAATGATCTTATAATCCTCCATGTCTGTCTAGTCGCAAATGAAACCTCATAAGCTAATAGTACCTATTGATGACATTTCGACAATCACGGTGGCTTTTCGAAGCAAATACATAAGCTATTTTTTTGCGTTTCGTGGTATTACAACTTAAGCGATGATGTCTCAAATTCCAAATAATATTTTGGAATAACAATAGTCGCCTTTACATGATTAGCGGAACACCGAAATATTAGCACCCCACTTTTTGCTAGTTGCGCGATATGTTCTGCGATTCTATGATTTTGGGTACCACAATGTAATTTCTGACACCTCGCCAAAAACTGTTTTAACGATGGAGTGACGCTACTATTCTACAGTCCATATCATTTCGCCACTACCTAAATGCTCTTTGAATCACCCCAGGCGCTAATGCGACGTTGCAATTCGATATATTTGGAGGGCAGAAGATGAAGGAGGTATGTGCAACTTCGATTGCATATTTTTGTACATTACGAAAAACCATATCACCTATTTCAGAGGGTCTGTCTGTCTGTCTTTTGACGTGTCTGATTTGTATGAAACCTTTGCACAAAATTACTACTATGCCAAAGACGAAAAAGCTTTGTAGTTTTTGAAAATCGGTCCGGTCATACCGGAGACAAACGCCGAAAACGGTAAAAAATAAAAAACCCTCAAGTATCGTATTTTGACCTTTGTCCTGATCATTCTGAAAAATGTTTCGTGGTTAAAAAATTAGGCGCAAGTTTGTGATGTTAGTGCAATAATGGGTACTCTTCCAATCCCGGAAAATATACGCACCTATTAGACATATTCACACATCATAGATTTCTCCCTATACTTGCTTTTAAAGCTCAAAATATATTTTCGTTCATTCATAATAATATAAGGTACCTAGGTCAAATATGGTCAAACGGTAAATGTGGCCACATACTATTATTGCAAACATTTGTTATAACCTGAACGCGATTCTAAATCATCACCAGTGCCGAATGTATACAAATGACATACCGGTCATAAAAATACTAAGTATTGTCCTGTTTTTTATTATTTTTCAAATACGAATGTTTGCTATCCATATTACGATTGTTTAATTATCAAAGTGTATTTTTCATTCGTGAATGTGAAAACAAACCATTTGCATGACTGCAAATATGGCCACCGTTTGGCCATATTTACGGTACTGAATTACTAACACTTTCTTAATATGAAATTAACTTTAACTGCAGTCCAAAGCGGTAAAATAAAAAATTATACGGCAGTCAGGAGTAACGAGTATGCGTCCCACTCCATTAGGTTAATACTTTTTTCTAGTTTGGAATATTATCGATTGTGGTTTGTAGAGAACATATTTTAAAGAAATTCTCCATTAAAACCTAATATCCGTGTTTATTTCAGTTTATATAGTAGTTATTTAAGACATTTCATATTCATACAGTAAGTACCACATACTTATACGCCCAATTTTCATTTTTTTAAGCTGTTGGCTTTGTACTGTTTTGACTTTATTACAAAGTTATATAGCCGGTGTTCATGGACAACTACTATGACTTGTTCTTTTTCCTTCAGTATCATAAAAAAGGGTAAGAAACCTAAGGCGGCCATATTCGGCCTAGGTACCTTACATGCTACATATTCGATGTCCATTTGTCCAGAACTGTATAAGAAGTACAGTCAACCTACTTGACACGATTTTTTTATAAACAAACCGCTTAGTTTGCCTACACGCCACAGGGCACCTGGATTCGATAAACACGTATCTTAATCCGTTTCTGGATGCACGGCCGCATTGGACATCGCATATTTTTTTAAATACCTATTTCGAGTATCTCAAGACTGCTTACGGACCGCTGCCAGAACTGAATGCCATGTAAAGGGATATCCCAAATGTAAGATCAACCTGTATATTAACAAAGACCTTTCACATATGAAACTAACCTTCAGCGCAGAAGACCTTCTTCGACGGCCTGTCAATCGACACGGAATGGTAACCATTTTCACATTGGCAGACTGCATGATGGTGTACTTGGATGCAAGACGCGTGCTGATCCGTGTATTTACACGTCTCCATGTAGTAACACTGGTCTCCCAGGCGGGTTGCTGCAAAAAAATCAAACAAGATACTCGATATGTCGAAATTTAGTTGGCATCTAAGCATTACAAGCTCATTATGCATATGTAATTCCACAGTGCCCAGGTCGTAATCGAATAGTTCGAACGCTTCATATCAAAATTGTTTCAGAGCATTTAGAATTTAGTAATGAGTACAAAATTCTCGAATACTAATTTAAGATACAAGAGTTATGTCGGTAACACTTCACAAAAATGTCATATGAAATTGCGTGCTCCATATTTTAACGACTTTCCACTAGGCATTCTTTGGCCACAAACGGCTCGAAACTGGTAAACCTAAATATCTGAGAGAAAAGCTACTTTTCCCTACTGACGCTTACAACAGAACTCATAGATATCAATGAACATGAGAGTTCCCGATCATTGCACCTCCCCCTCATAAAAATAAGCGTCAGTGAGATGAGAGATAACAGCAATTAAAGAATTAGCATTAGATACAGCATTGAAATTTTTGACAGCTACACGCAATCACGACTTTATCCCTAAGTTGGTATTTCGTCTCCTCAATCTGAAAAATAAATAGATGAGCACATCGTAACTGAAGGAACATTAAAATCAATTTGAAATAGTCTTTATTACTACGGTGGTTGGTTAAATTAAATTTAAGTGCGATCCTCCCACGTGAATCGCATTAATAAGATGGAAAGCTTAATGGTCTCCTTAATGCCAGAAGCATCTCACTTATTGCAGGGAACATTTCTTCCGTTATCCAACTCGGTTTGCTCAACTTATCTTTATTTTGTATTACTGATGAAATCGAGACAGTAACTTATTTATATTCTATAAATATCGAGACATCTCTCTTTGTACTTTTAGATAAGTCGAAAATGACACATTCGTGGTAGAAACTTTCCAATAATCCATAATCACGTTTGTTGTGTGCCCCTTAACATAATGCAAGCGATTACCCGGTGCAAATTCGTTTTAAAAAAACAGATAAAAAAATGTTTTTTAACATTCTGAAGAAAGAACAAAAAAACAACGATGAACTACACCATCCTTAATAGAAGAGTACTCTCTATTTAAAACGAATAAAAATGCGATTTTCGCCAGATGGTAAATATGCACCCCCTTCAAATTTGCAAATTGTATGGCTAGCATTAGCCTGTGATAAAAGCTCCTAGATGTTTAGTGTATACACTAGATCTGGACCAAATTGTTCCTTTTGATGATTCGACTATGTGGTTTCGATTCCGGCCTCGGAATCGATTCCTGCGATTGGTTCACGATTGCAATGCTGCCCTCAAACTCGATTCCTTCGATGCGTTCATAATAGCAATTCTGGTCTCGAAACGTATTCCTTTCATTCGTTCACGATTCCCATTCTGGTCTCAAAATCAATTCCTTCGATTCATTTACGATTCCAATTCTGCCTCTAAATCAATTCCTTCGATTTGTTCGCGATTCCGATTCTGGTCTCAAAATAGATTTCCTCGATTCATTCACGATCCCCATTCTGGTTTCAAAATCGATTCAGTCGACTTCGGAATCGATTCCTCCAAGCCGTTAATGATTCCGATTCTGCCTAGAAATCGATTCGTTCAAGATTCTAATTATGGCCTCGACTTCTACTCGATTCACAGAATTGTTATCGTATACGGTTCCGGCCTTGAAATCGATTCTTTCGATTCGTTCACGATTACCATTGCGGTTTCGGAATCAATTCCTTTGATTCGTTCTCAATTGCAATTCTGACCTCAACATCAATTCCTTCGATTCGTTCACGATTCCGATTATGCCTCGAAGTCGATTCCTTCGATTCGTTCACGATTTCAATTCTATTTCAAATCTATTTCTTTGATTCATTCAGGATTCCGACTCTGCCACGAAATCGATTCCTTTGATTCATTTACGAATCCGATTCTGGGCTCAAAATCAATTCCCTTGATTCGTTCACGATTCCGATTCTAGCCTCAACATCAATTCCTTCGGTTCGTTCACGATACCGATTCTGGTCTCGATACCTATTCATTTTATTCGTCGACGATTCCGATTCTGGCCTCAAAATCAATTCCTTCGGTTCATTCACGATTCCAATTCTGCCTCGAGATCAATTCCATCGATTCGTTCACGATTCTGATTCTGGTCTCAAAATCTGTTCCAATGATTCGTTTATGATTCCGATTCTGGTTTCAAAAAGATTTCTTCGATTTATTCACGATCCCGATTCTGGTGTCAAAATCGATTCAGTCGACGTCGGAATCGATTCCTTCAATCCGTTAACGATGAAATCGATTCTTTTGATTCATTCACGATACCGATTCTAGCCTCAACATCAATTCCTTCGATTCGTTCACGATTCCAATTCTGCCTCGAAATTAATGCCTTCGATTCGTTCTCGATTCTGATTCTGGTCTCGAAATCTGTTTGACTGGTTCGTTTTTTGATTCCGATTCTGGTCTCAAAATAGATTTCTTCGATTTGTTCACGATCCCGATTCTGGTGTCGAAATCGATTCAGTCGACATCGGAATCGATTGCTCCAATCCGTTAACGATTCTGATTCCAACCTCGGAATCGATTTACCGAATTGTTAACGTTTACGGTTCCGGCCTTGAAATCGAGTCTTTTGATTCGCTCACGATTCCCATTCTGGTCTCAAAAAGATTTCTTCGATTTATGGACGATCCCGATTCTGGTGTCAAAATCGATTCAGTCGACGTCGGAATCGATTCCTTCAATCCGTTAACGATTTCGATTCTGTCTAGTAATCGATTCCTTCGATTCGTTCAAGATTCCAATTCTGGCGTCGACTTCTATTCATTCGATTCGTTCTCGATTCTGATTCCAACCTCGGAATCGGTTTACCGAATTGTTACCGTTTACGGTTCCGGCCTTGAAATCGATTCTTTGGATTAGTTCACGATTACCATCGCAGTTTCGGAATCAATTCTATTGATTCGTTCTCGATTGCAATTCTGGCCTCTACATCAATTCCTTCGATTCGTTCACGATACTGAATCTGGTCTCGAAACCTATTTCTTTTATTTGTTCACGATTCCGATTCTGGCCTCAAAATCAATTCCTTCGATTCGATCACGATTCTGATTCTGGTCTCGAAATCTGTTCCACTGATTCGTTTATGATTTCGATTCTGCTGTCAAAATCGATTCAGTCGACGTCGAAATCGATTCCTTCCATCCGTTAGCGATTCCGATTCTGTCTAGAGATCGATTCCTTCGATTCGTTCAAGATTCCAATTATGACCTTGTCTTCTATTCATTCGATTCGTTCTCGATTCTGATTCCAATCTCGGAATAGATTCACCGAATTGTTAACGTTTACGGTTTCAGCCTTGAAATCGATTCTTTTGATTCATTCACGATACCGATTCCGTTCACGATTCCAATTCTGCCTCGAAATCAATGCCTTCGATTCGTTCTCGATTCTGATTCTGGTCTCGAAATCTGTTTGACTGGTTCGTTTTTTGATTCCGATTCTGGTCTCAAAATAGATTTCTTCGATTTGTTCACGATCCCGATTCTGGTGTCAAAATCGATTCAGTCGACATCGGAATCGATTGCTCCAATCCGTTAACGATTCCGATTCTGCTAGAAATCGATTCCTTCGATTCGTTTATGATTCTGATTCCAACCTCGGAATCGATTTACCGAATTGTTAACGTTTACGGTTCCGGCCTTGAAATCGATTCTTTTGATTCGCTCACGGTTACCATCGCGGCTTCGGAATCAATTCCTTTGATTTGTTCTCGATTGCAAGTCTGGCCTCAATATCAATTCCTTCGATTCGTTCACGATTCCGATTACGCCTCGAAATCGATTCTTTCTATTCGTTAACGATTCCAATTCTGGTTACGAAATCTATTTCTTTGATTTGTACAGGACTCCTACACTGCCTCGAAATCGATTCCTTTGATTCATTTACGAGTCCGATTCTTGCCTCAAAACCGATTCCTTTGATTCGTTTACGATTCCGATTCTGACCCCAAAATCAATTCCTCCTATTCATTAACGATTCCAATATTGCCTCGAAATCGATTCCTTCGATTCGTTCACGATTCTGATTTTGGTCTCGAAATCTATTAAACTGGTTCGTTTATGATTCCGATTCTGGTCTCAAAGTAGATTTCTTCGACTTGTTCACGATCCCGATTCTGGTGTCAAAATCGATTCAGTCGACGTCGGAATCGATTCCTCCAATCCGTTAACGATTCCGATTCTGCTTAGAAATCGATTCCTTCGATTCGTTCACGATTCCAATTCTGGCCTCGACTTCTATTCATTCGATTCGTTCACGATTCTGATTCCAACCTCGGAATCGATTTACCGAATTGTTAACGTTCACGGTTCCGGCCTTGAAATCGATTCTTTCGATTCGTTCACGATTACCATCGCGGTTTCGGAATCAACTCCTTTGATTCGTTCTCGATTGCAATTCTGGCCTCAACATTAAGTCCTTCGATTCGTTCAAGATTCCTATTATGCCTCGAAATCGATTCCTTTGATTCATTTACGAGTCCGATACTGGTCTCGAAACCTATTCATTTTATTCGTTCAGGTTTCCGATTCTGGCCTCAAAATCAATTCTTTCGATTCATTCACGATTTCAATTCTGCCTCGAAATCAATTCATCCGATTCATTAATGATTCTGATTCTGGTCTCGACACTTATTCCACTGGTTCGTTTATGATTTCGATTCTGGTCTCAAAATAGATTTCTTCGATTTATTCACGATCCCGATTCTGGTGTCAAAATCGATTCAGTCGACGTCGGAATCGATTCCTCCAATCCGTTATCGATTCCGATTCTGCCTAGAAATCGATTCCTTCAATTCGCTCAAGATTCACATTATGGCCTTGACTTCTATTCATTCGATTCGTTCACGATTCTGATTCCAACCTCGGAATCGATTTACCGAATTGTTAACGTTTACGGCTCCGGCCTTGAACTCGATTCGTTCATGATTACCATTGCGGTTCCGGAAACAATTCCTTTGATTCGTTCTCG